GAAGATATCAAGCGGAATTCCACGAAACTTTCACGGATTGATAAACACACGAAAACAAAAAGTTTGGTGCACAACTAACACAGCAACACACGTAAAATACAGTAATTCCAGAGAAAAAGCAGGATCCAGCGCGTGGTAGCAGAAAATTCCGCGGCGTCCGTGGGTACAGCCACCAGGTAAGATCCACACACTACGCTCATTTGTTTTGGTGTATAATCCTGATATAATATTTATAACTGAATCTTGGTGCCATAATGGCATGTCTGACACTCAGTTAACTATTTTCGGATATAACAAGTTTATGAGAAATCGGCCTGGTCGTCGAGGTGGTGGCTGTGTAATTTATCTGAAAAAATCGCTCGCAGCAGCAACATTCGATAACCCAGTGTTGAACAATGTTCAGGAATCACTTTGGCTTACGATATCTGTTAATCAGCAGCAGCTGCTTATGGGATGTATATACAGCGCACCAAACTGCAGTCAAGAAGACCTAAAACCTTTGACTTTGCATTTGAATGCACCGCTAGCCTACCATTTATACATAAGATTATTGGAGGTGATTTCAATCTGCCTTCGATTTCATGGCTCATAGGAACCGCTCCTTTGAAATACCAAAATCTTATCTCCTGTATCCAAATGAATGGTTGGCAGCAACACGTCTCCCAACCTACCAGAGGTGAAAGTACTCTGGATCTCATTTTTTCATTGGACATACCTGCAATCAGTGTTAACGTTCTTGATGAATTTCCGGGGAGCGATCATCGCGTGATCAAATGCCGCCTAAGACTACGCATGACCGATGTACAGAACACAATGCATTATCGTCTGTTCAGTTCCGTCAACTGGGACTCTTTCAATAACTTGGCTCGTTCGATGAATTGGGATAATTTGTTTCTCTCTTCATGTCCTCAACAAGCGACAGACCTGTTTTATAGTATAATTGGCTTCTGCATCGATTCAGCAGTACCAGTAAAATGTGCTTACCAGACTAAACATAAGTCCGATTGCAAGGCGTTGAAGGCAGCACGAAAGCTTCATAAGATTCGGCAGAAAGTCAGGTCAACTGCCGACTTTGCGCTATTATTAAAGCAATGCAGGCTCGTCGAAGAACAGAAGCATCACTGTGACAAAACTCTCATTATAGAAAAATATAAAGCTCTGAACGGCCCTAGCAAACAGCTAAGCTAGCCAAACTATTCCGTGCCCGGGGTTCACGTTGCAGCGGCAATTTCAATTTTATCACCACACCTGATGGAACATACTACGACGCACCAGGTGATATCTGCGAAGCTTTCAGTGCTTATTTTGCCGAATCAAATCCCAATGAATCATCAGACACACCACCACTTATTATGCCGCCCAACAATGAGGTCCTATGCACAGTGGACTTCACTATAGCGAAAGTCACTGGGGAAGTCGCTCGCTTATACTCCTCAACGCGTTCGAGCTCTGATTGGGATCCCCCATTGTTAATAAATAGCAGTGGTACTGACTTCCTTCTGCTTTTGCTCAACATCTTTACACACTCTTTTAACAACCGAGTATGCCCTACTCAATGGAAAACTTCTGTCGTTATCCCGCGACATAAAAATGGCGCTGCCCACGAGGTTAAATGTTTCGTCCCATCAATCACACACCCATCGTATCTAGAATAATGGAAAGGATAGTGAAAGATGAACTATTCATATTTTTGAACAACGCTAACGTTATCATCAACTCGCAACACCGCTTCATGCAAGGTCGATCCTGCGCAACATGCCAGACTGACTTTTAAATCACACAACGGCTGCCATTGACGACGGAAACAGTGTCGTAATCCTGTTCTTGGATATGCAGAAAGCCTTTGCTAGAGTGCCTCACAGAAGGTTATCAAACTGAAGGCTACAGGCATTGGAGAACTGATGTTCTCTTGGCTGCCTTCCTACCTAATTAGTAGATAGCAGGTGGTGCGTATAGGCGACCATTCCTCTAAACCGAAAGTAATCACTAGTGGAGTAATTCAAGAGAGTGTTCTTGGTCCTCTTCTTTTTCTAATATATATTACGATACATTCCAGAGAATAAGAAAAGGTGTTGCGTTTATCTTTGCTGATGACATTAAAGTTGTCTACTCACAACCACGTGCAAATACTCAGGAAGCCGTACATCTCATTCAGGATGACCTATCTGCCCTTGACTCCTGGTGCCAACTGTGCCAGATGTCATTTGCCGTGGACAAGTGTAATATTTTGTCGTACAAATGCCAAATACTGCCAAACAGTTTATACTACAAGCGCTTATAATCTGGCAATGCAGGGAAGTTCGCGTCCTGGGCTTGCGCTACTCAGTCACGTTTAACTTTTCTGAACATTGTAACTTTTTCGAAAGCCATGGAGACCATCGGGTATATCTGCCATCATTTTTACATCACGAGATCTCGCAAATCGTTTTACAGAACATATGTATGTCCGTGTATGGAATACTGTTCAGTGGTTCAGTCTAACCTGCGGAAATCTGACCAGCTCTCTCTTGAGAAGGTTCAGAGACGCTTCACGGAAAAGCTATGTGGATATTCCTCAAAGTTGACATACAGAGAGCGATGTAATAAACTTGGATTTGACCCAGTTTGGCTTCGAACAATGAAGCTGAACCTATGTTTGCTTTACAGAATCATAAATTGTCAAATTCGCAGTCTTGAAAACGGTGTCTACATATTTTTTAAACAGCAGATATCCAATACGTAACAAGGAGGTAAAGGTCATGATTCCAAAATTTACTGCGAGAATCAGAGAACATTTCTATCTAACCCAATACTCAGCTTTGGAATAAACTTCCAAGTGATATCAGAACATGCTATACACACTGTCGAAATGTCCAAAGAAAAACAAAACAAACAACCCCCCGCCGGGGTGCACAGCTGAAGACAATAAAATTAAATGTGATGTAGCGGGCGAAGAATATATAATCAAAAAAACCGCCCCCACCCCCCACGCCGTCCCCCCCCCTCCCACGCCCCCTACCTCCCCACCCCCCCGCCCCCGTCTCCCTCCCCCCACCCCCCCCCCCCCCCCCCGTCTCCCTCCCCCCTACCACCCCCTCCCCCACCCACCACCCTCCCCTCCCGCCACCGGACTCTGCCCACGGCTTCCCCCCCACCCCCCCTATTCCCACCCCCTATCCTCCACCCCCCCGCCTTCGATTTTACCACGTACCCCCCATCCCCATCTACACCCCCCCCACCCCCCCCCCCCCCATTTACCTGGGTCCCCGCGCCCGATCGCCCCCCCCCCACCCTCCCCCCGGTGACCCCCCCCCTACGCAACATTGTCCCCCCTCCTGCGCGCCCCCCGCCGTGTGGGTGTCCCCCCTAATGGCCCCCCCCCCCACCTATGGTGCATTTGTACCCCCTCTCCCCCCCCCCGCGCCCCCCCACCCGTGGACCCCTGTGAGCCCGCCGTCCGTCCTTTTAATATTGCGCCCCCCCCACCTCCGGTCCCCTCCCACTCCATGGGGCGGGTGTCCTCCTCCCCGTCCTCCCCCCCGCGTCCCTGTCCTATTTATGAAGGAATTTTTTGCATCCCCCACGCTTAACCACCGCCCGCACCCCCCCCACCAGTTTATACCTCTGCTCCCCCCCCCCCCCACCCGCTTCCTCCCCCCCCCCCCACGCCCCCCCCGGACCACGCTACCGCTCCCCCGTTCCCCCCCCTTACCATCTCCTCGCCCCCGAATCCATCATGGTTGATGCCTATACATCAGGCGAAATGTTCTGTTCTCAGCATTGCAGGTGCTAGTCCCCCCATGCACCATGTAGCTGGTGAAAATGAACTCCCTGTTGCCACTCAGCAGGTTGATCTAGGTATCATCCACATCTCATTGCTTCACCCTTGGAACAATTGGAGGAAGGCTGCTTGTGGAGGGTTCTGTATGATATGTTTTATTCGCTACCCCTTCGGTGTCCTGACGGCCAATATTTTTGTGAAGCTGTTCTCAGCTTGTGTGCGATCCCACTTAGGGTAATATATTCAGGCTTATCCACCTTATCTTGTAAAGGACAAAATGAAACTGGAGAGGGTTTTGCGAGTGGGCACAAGGTTAGTGTAAGGATTAAGGGGGCAACCGTATCCCGATCGTTTGCTTAGCTTGCGTATGTACTCAATGCACCACCGCAGAATTAGAGGAGACTTGATCCGCACTCACCGTATCATAACGGGTAACATCGGTCCGGACTTGTCCTGGCTATTTAGTCCCATCAAGATGTCTAGTCTCCGAGGTAACCCGTTGAAGCTGCACTAACTACGTTTTGTTTGAGTAAGGACGGAAACTCGCTTGTTGCGTCCAGTTATTGAACGTTGGAACTCACTTCCGCCGTACGTGGTTAGGGAGTCTACAGTAGAGGGTTTCGAGCGTCAGTTATATGCTCTTGGGTGGCAGTAGCAAACTTTCCCCTTCTCCTAACCGACTTGTATCTTCAACTTCCACTTCTTTTTTCTAAACTTTCTTCTCACACCTTGGTATTAGCATTATTTTGATGACATTCCTCCTCTTGGCTTCTTAGCTTACCCTTTACTGTTTTACTTCACATAAACCGGCCTAGCAGGGACTACTGGGCAGGAAATTGTAGGCAGTAATTGGTTAGACAGGGTGTGATGTGGTCTTTGTTTTAGGCTTTTCAACATCTCAAGCAGATCTGTCCATTCCCGATCCGACGATACGTAAAAGGCGGAGCATTCACCTGATTATCCTATCGTTTCGGTCCTAACCGAAATTGAACTTACAATCATCAAGAGAGATTTCTTGGGCGGACGGTTTTGACTCGCAGTCCTAATCGCCATCCAGTTACCGCTTGCCATTTGTGTGCCGTTTCTCATTTGACAAAGGTGGATTTACTGCATTCGCTTTGACTTGGAGTATGCAGACGATATTGCCCCCATCTACGACAGCCCCAGACGTGTCAAGCCGCGCTGGACAGATTAGCACTGGCTGTCCGTCACTTCGGGCTTTGCTTCGCACCATCGAAGTGCAAAGCGTTCCTCCAAAATTTGCAGAGATCGCCTCCTGCGCTGACCCTTGGTAGGGATCAGCTAGAAGTCGTTCAGAAATTCAACTACCTTGGAAGTTGTATCAGCGCCCTTGGGATTGAGGATGAGATCACGAACCGTATAGCAAAAGCTCGAAGTGCTTTTGCTAACCTTCGCCACCTATGGCGGCGGCGCGACATTGCTCTCGCCCTGAATGGTAGAGTGTACAATGATTTGGTACGTTCGACCTTAGTTTACGGTTGCGAATCCTGGCCCCTAAAATCGGCCAACATAAATAGGCTAGTTACGTTCGACCACCGGTGCTTTCGCAGTTTGGCTCACATGTGGTGGGAACCCCACGTGAGTAACGAGCGTGTTCGACGCATTGTTTACGGCACAGATAAAGGAACTGAACCGCTCAGCACCATCATTTCACGCACCAGGCTCCGATGGGTGGGCCACATGTTACGCATGCCAACCCATCGACTTCCACGACGTGCGTTGTTTGCTCCCTGGGGATGTGGGTAGAAGAAGGGGTGGGGTGGCCAAGCGATAACTTGGTCGAGAGGAATGAAGGCCCTCACTTATGTGCTGGCCTCGGCTGGAGCGTCACCACTCCTTGTTTTGGGTTCAAAAGACGGTGAGCACGTTTGACTGGATACACTCGCTGACATGGCAATTAGCCGATCTCAGTGGCGTCCGTGCTGTGAGTTTCTTTGTCCCACCCCATGCCTTTTAGCCTCCCCTCCAACCGCGATCTCATTTCATATCGTAAAGTAATTTTACCTAATAGTTTTTCTTTTTGCCTAATAGCGGGCTGGTAGCTTACCGGAACGATGCCTATCCGTTGCTGGTAGCTCAGCTGACATGCAATTGTTGTATTTATTTTCCTTTTCCTTTATGTGTGGCGGCACAGTAGCTGCGGTGTTTCCACCCCTAGCTG